GGGTCCAGGGTGGGGAGGGGCAGCCATAGAACTCGCCACCCATGCCAGCGTTCAGTCAGCTCCCCCTTACCTGCACACGCTCTGCAGCGTTTTCAGGTGACCGGGGAGATGCCCTGACGTGACATCACGGCCCAGGACTTTAAAAGTGGTCGGTGCCGCGTGGTGCCGGCCTAACTTCCGGTTCAGAGTCCGGGGACTTTTGGGGCCCAAGCACAGACCTGCAAGTGGAAGGCAGAAGGTACGGCAGGGCAGGGCAGGGGGAAAGGGTGGGAGAGGAAGGGACTTGTTGGGGGGGGAGGAGCGGGGAGAGGGAAGATACTAATGCCAGGGGACCAAGTGCAGACAATGAGGAAAAGGGCAGGAGGGGAGATGTCAGTGGGAGGGGGGACAGGGTGATGCTGGGAGAGGAGAGGAGAGGAGAGGAGAGGGGAAGAGTATTAGGGTCTGGAGGAGGAAGAGGGAGGTGCTGGGAGAATGCTTGAAAGGAGGGGTGGGCATGAGAAAGGTGGAGATGAAGCAAGTCATGTGTGAGGGCACAGGGGCATGAGGGGAATGGGGCAGAGAGTGGTGAGGGGGTGGGCATCAGGGAAAAAGGGCTAAGCGGGCAGGGGCAGTGAGGGAAGAGAATCCCTGCTGATCCTCTCCTAAGGCTTTCAGTTAGCCAAGGGATTGTAGGTCGCAGGCATCCACTGCCGTCTCCTATCTGTAAAGTATACCCCTTTTGTGTATGGGACCTTTTTATCTATCTTCCTTCTGGGATAGATAGGTGGGTTTGTTGCAGTTGCTTGTTGTCATGTAACTTAAACTTTCAAATACATGGTTTGGCCCTAAACCTTGTCTGGCCTGATTTGTTGATTCTCAGTCCAGCAGTGATAGATAGGTAACACTAGGTCGAATTTGGCTTCTGTTGGGGTGGGAGGAGGAATAGCCTTTGATTAACTGCTTAGGCTCCACAGCAATTGCTTACCTAAGTGCCAGATCTGAGAGGGGGTATGGGTGCAAGAGGAGGGCAGAAGTTTTGATTATGTTGAATGGGGGAGGAGGGGGCAGAGGGTTTGGTAAGAGAGGGGCTGGGGTGCCAAAGACAGGCTCTGGCCAGGAGACTCACCAGCCCATAGCCCAACCAGCCTACCTGCCTGCCTGCCTGCAGACCTAAGGCTTGAAGAGCTTAAAAAGTTTCTTACCAGCCTGGCTGCCCCCATGCCTGCACAGACTGCCCAGCCATGTGCTTATGTGAATAGGGGAGGGGAGGGAGCTAGTGCTTTATGGCTGGCTGTTGTTTCTGATAAGAAACTGGCCAATGGGATTGTGCTGGGGACAGGAGTTACACCTGAAGCCTTCTTCCCCTCACAGTTTTTAAAGAGAAACAGCCCCACAGCCACTTTTCTGAGCAGCATGCATGGGAGCCTGCTTGGGGCACCGCACAGCCTCTGCAGGCTGAGGCCCACAGCTTGGCAGGCTGTATTTTGCCCAGCCCGGCTCTGTAGACTAAAAC